TCTTTTCCAATTTCTGTGACAAATATCCTGACAAGTGCAACTGAAGGGAGCAAGGGGTTATGTTGGCTCACTGTGTGAGGAGGTACAGTTCACCCATCATGGCAGGGAAGTCACAGCAGCAGCAGTGTGAAGCAGCTGGTCTCATTGCAGGGGTAGTCAGGAAGCAGAGAGCAATGAGTGCACGCACAGTGCTCAGGTAGCTTTCTCCTTTTTATACAGCCTAGCATCCCCTACACAGGGAATGGTGCCTCCCAGAGTGGGCTGGGTCTTCCCACATCAATTAACACACGACAACCCCCACAGCATGTGTACAGGCAGCCAACTGTCTCTAAACAATCCCTTGAGATCTTCCTCTTTCTTCAGGTGATTCTAGACTGTCAAGTTGACAATTAAAACTAGCCATCAAGCCTCCATATATATTATATTGATCAGAAAGCTCAGCAAAAAGAGATGGGAGTCCATGGCTTCCTGTATCTTAGCTGAGTGCATAATTATTGCTTGCCACCTTACGGCTCCTGGCTTTAATCCAAATGCCCTGTTCAGTGAGATCATCTACCCTTCAATATCATAACAAAGGAAGATGTGGTATCCTCGGTGGCCTGACCAAGGAAAGGCTTCTAGGAGTTGGGTTCAGAAACGGTGACAAATATTTGCCAAGGGCAGGCACCCACGGGGTGGGCAACAGGCTATTGTTGAGGTTTCCAGGAAGTCACAGAACAGCTGGGGAATCATGTGGCCCCAGCCCGGCTCCCATACTGAGCAAATGTGCGACAGATTAAATATTTATCTATTGTCCTGTCCACCTCAATAAAACATCACACTCTTTCATGCTCTTGCTGTAATGACGTTTGTGTGCCTTGGAATGCCGCCCTGGGCCAGCCGATCATATTTAAAGATGTGAAAACATAAAAATCGATATAAAGAAATGAAAAGTCTGTTTCACTGATAAAACATCGTTTATCTTACTCATGGGTACTTCTCAGATTCCTCTAAGTGCCCTTTCAGAGGGCAGCATCAAAGCCAAGACCTGCTTGCCTGCAGGCTTCTCAGGGCAATGGGGTGAGGCAATAATATACGGGGGTGGGGGTGGGAATAGGGTGCCAAGGAAGAGACTGTTTCTGGGCCTGGCACTATTGGACTTGCTTCTACCCAGGAGCTCCACGTGGGGATTCCTGAGGATATTTCAGCATTTCAAAGCTCCCAAAGGTTGGGCTTGAGTGTAGAGGGCTTGCCTGGCATGCATGAAGCCCTGGGGTCCATCTCCAGCACTGTTTAATATCAGCTGTGATGGAACACAGCTATAATTCCAGTCAAAGTCATCCTTGGTTACATATCCAGTTCCAGACCAGCCAGGACTACTATGTCTAAAATAAAAGTCTGAGAAAAGAACAGATCTTCACCAAGCATGGTGGGGCACTCCTTTAATCCCAGTACTCGGGAGACAGAGGCAGGCAGATCTCTGTAAATTTGAGGCCAGCCTACAAAGAAAGTGCCAGGATAGCCAAGGCTACACAGAGAAATCCTGTATTGAAAACCAACCCTCCACAAACAAACAAACAAACAAACAAACAAACAAACAAACAACCTAGATCTTCACAAAACTCTGATAGGTAAGTGCTTAGTGACCCTTTTTTGGTAGATGTTATGTAAGGTAATATCATTATGAAAATTATGCATGCCAGTTAGAATGAAGTTGGGATTTTTTTTTTTTTTTTTGAGCCAAGATTTCTTAGTGTAGTCGTGACTGTCCTGGAACTCGCTCTGTAGACCATGCTGGCCTTGAACTCAGAGAGTCACCTGTCTCTGCCTCCCGAGTTATAGGCATGCACCATCACTACCCGGTTCAAATTATTTTCTTTACATTACATTTATTTATTGTACGTGTGTGGGCATACGTGCCAAGGCATGTGTGTGTGAACGTCAGAGGATAACCTGGGGGACTCCGTTCTCCCTTTTCACCATGTTGGTCTTGGTGATCAAACTTGAGTCACGAGCCTTGCTGGCTGGTCCCTAAGCCATCTTGCCAGCCTGAAAATGAAATTATTTAGCCCACATCTAGGAGTTTAATAAATCAACTGTTCATGCCTGTAGGTTCTGCATCCATGCATTCAAACAAGAGCAGCTCAAAACCGGGTTGCAAAGGGGTTGGGGGAGGGCTCAGTGAGCAAAGGCGCTTGCTGACAAATTTGGCAACTCGAGTTCAATCCCCAGGACCCTCCTGGTGGGAGAACTGACTCTCACAAGTTGTCCTTTGACTACCACATGGATGTTGTGGCAGGTTCTTCTGTACCTCCTCTATAAATAAACAATAAATGAATAAATATAATGTTTTTAGACGTGCAGGAAAAAACTGTGTCTCTGTATTAAGGCATAGGAAGATCCCAAATAATCCAGCACGGACCTCCTCACACACACAGCCTATAGTGTCTTCTCAATACCAAAGGACCACACACAGGAAGAGTGTGTAAGATCATATGTAAACACTGCACTATTTTATATGAGTCCTTGAGCATCTGCAGATTTTGATATCTTGGGATAGCCTGCAAACCTCCCCGCCCCCCCACCGCCAGGTCCCTGATGAATGAGCATTCTTTGAGCCACATGGGGAGGAAGTAGGTGTCCTCTGAGACAACAAGGTTGGGGCCTCATGGAACACCAGTTCTTTTCCTTGTTTACCCCCACAGACTCCCCCAGGCTGTGGGCTCCCTAAGCCCTTTTCTATGGACAGTAGAGAGATCAGGGTGGCTGGGGAGTGGCCCTCTCAGAAGCCTCTGAGGAGGTAGTAACCAGTTGAGGCCACTTTGGGGCTGAAGGTGGGGTGGGCAGAGAAGCTCACTATGTTTGGAAGGGAGGTGAGGGGTGTGTCAGCGTTCCCCACTCAGCAGGAAGGTTTGAAACTTAGTGTTGCCCATTGTTGGTGTGATACATGCTGTCTTCCACCAAGGGCCCAGATGCCCCTTCTCTCTGCAAGCGTACTGTGGCCCTTCTGGTCTTCTGCCAGTTCTTCTCCTAACCAAGCTTTCCCTGCCTTGTGCTGTGTGAATGGAGGACCCCTCACTCCAGCAGCTGAGATGCAGGTGTGACTTTAGAATGTCACATTTCCACAAACCTCTTTAGACCCCTAAATCTAAATGTGACCACTTCCATGGTTTTTTAATATAGTTGTCCTTTTGTGTCCTGGGGATTGGTTCCAGAGCCACCCCCAGATACACAAATTTGTAGATCCTCAAATACTTTTTATGGAAGACTAACTAGGTGTTAGCCCACACATGCACAAACCTGTGCACACCTCCTGGATTTTCTCAGCTGGAGCCATTGCTGGGATGTTAAGAGCACTTGCTGTTTTTCCAGAGGACCTGAGTTTGTTTCCCAGGATCCACATAGTAGTTCACAACCATCTGGAACTTCAGTTCTAGGGGATCTGATGCCTTCTTCTGACATCTGGAGGGTCTGTGTGTATGTGGTGCATATACACACATGCAGACAAAACACTCACATACAAAAAATGAGAATCAATTAAAAAATATTGTTCTTGCTGGGCAGTGGTGGCGCACGCCTTTAATCCCAGCACTCGGGAGGCAGAGGCAGGTGGAACTCTGTGAGTTTGAGGCCAGCCTGGTCTCCAAAGCGAGTTCCAGGAAAGGCACAAAGCTACACAGAGAAACCCTGTCTTGAAAAAAACAACAACAAAAATTTGTTTTCTTAAATTTTTTACATAGTCAGTGAGTGTGTCAATCAACCATGCAGTACTGTACCTCAGCGTGGTTCCTCTGTTCTCATTGTTTGCATGACTGTCCTGTATTTTCCAGTAGATCCAAGTGAATCTGATGGGAGAGATTTTATGCATTGTCGGGACTAGAGAAGGTGTGAGGATACATTCCTCTCGCAAGAGTAGGATGGAGCATGCATCTTAGATTCCTGAGGTGGGGCTGCATTAAAGGCAGCGAGTCTGAAATCGTTTGCTACTTAGGCAGCCTGAAGCCATCTGACCTATGGACTCCATCTAGTCTCATTTTCTGGTGGAAAAATAAATGAGCGCTAATTTGGGGGGCAGGGAGTGGATGATGTATACATGTGCTCTCACGCTGGAGAAGGGTGATTCATATGGGAACCACAATGTATACATGTTGGAGAGTCTAGTTATTGGAAAATTATAGCCTTGGAATTCTGTTGATGTAAATAAGCTTCGATATCCTCCGTAGGGTTAACCAAGCAACCCACAACAAAATGAGCTGATAATGACAATGCTGATTCATAATTAAAAAGGCCCTATGGCAGCAGCTGGAAACTGCAAATAACTCAAGGCTTCGCTGTTGAGTGGCAGATAAAGAGGCTTTCTCCGAGACTTGGGAGTCCATCTGTCCATCTGCACATGGGAGATGTGTCTTTTCTTGTAGCCTGGCAGGCAGCTGGACTTCACGATATTGCAGGGGATGCAGTAACCTTTAAGAGGCTTTCTTAGTCAATTGCCAATTAGTTGACCTAATTGCGTGCAAAAATGAAACCTTAATCAAATTATACACAATTGGTGTGTGTGTGTGTGTGTGTGTGTGTGTGTGTGTGTGTCTCCGCAGAAGAGGATGTTTAATATGTATAAGACTCTGGGTCCCACCCCCAGATCATCAGCCACAAGAGAAAAAAATTATACACAATTTACCATTAAGTTCCAAAGGAAGCTTTAGGAAAATTCAGTTCCAGGAGCATGAGATGCCTCTGATGAGATGTCTCCAGTTCCTGTGCTGTGGACGCTGCTTTCAACCTTTGGGCTGGGGTTTCCTCCCGACCTCAAGGAGACTAGAGCTAGCATCTGGATGAACAAAGCACTCAGGTTCTCATTTTTAAAAGTGTGCAAATCGTCCATGAGAAACAGTTTAGAAGATTTAACACTGTTCATTTAATGTCTCATGGAAGACAATCTCTAAGATTTAACACAATGAAAAACAACGCACAGGCGAGTATATATAATAGGATATCTATATTGGGAAAAAGCACAGCAAAGATTTCGTATGGACATTCAGGCTTTATTTGCACAGAGTATTTCTGGAATCATGCAGAAGAAATGGATCAAGAGAGTCATCTCCATGGAGCGGGGAGACTGATGGGGAAGAGGCGAGATGGGTACTTGGAGTTTTTATTAGACATCATTCCTGCTTTTTGAATTCTGTGTTACTTATGGATCAACTATTAACAATGATGATTAATTGAGGTGGGAAGACTCACCCTAACTGTGGTGGTGCCATTCCATAGGCTGGGGTGCCAGACAAAATAAAAAATCAGCAGGCTGAGCGCCAGCATTCATCTCTCTCTGCTTCCTGCCTGCAGGTGACCACAGGCTCACATGTCTGTTTCCCCCCCCCCCCCCCGCCCCCATACCCTCCATACCCTCCCGCTGTGAGCCTGAGTGATGCTTGTCTCAGTTTTTTCTTTCCTCTATTTTCCTAGGAGAGGAAGACTCTTTGATTACTTATAATCATGATACCTCTTTCTTCTTCAATACCATGGACATGTCTTAAGTATGTGATTCTAGAATCAGAAGGAAAACACCCATCTCCAGGAAACAACAGGGTTATAAAACCAGACACAAGCCCGGGAACTCTGGACTGAGGCAAAGACCTTAGTCCCAATGCCCAGTTGTTGGGTACGCTGACATGCTACTAAGAAACTTTCCTAGTTCTGATGTGGTTTCCCACTGTAGACAGTACAGAACCCTATAGGAGTGCTTGAGCATCAGGGACAACAAGGCTTGATCCCAAGAGTCAAGTGTGTTCAAGTGGATGCAGACCTCTTACTACATCAGTGCTGATCCCAGAGGCCAAGCAGCTCCTAATCTCAGTTTCCTACCAGGAATTGAAAAGAGCACGAGACCAACATTAATCCTAGTGAAAAATATGATATTTCATTGATTATGCAAAAAAGAATTCTGTTCGTACACACAGATCAACGTAAGACAGTACATTGCCTTCACATCGTAGATGCTCACAGTGCAGAGTAACAATTCCTAGGACAAAGCAGCCAGGGAGGTGGAGAGTGGATCCAAAGGTTCTGGGTTCTGAGCTGCCCTGGATGGTCAGTACAAGAAGAAACAGGAGCACTTGGAATGTTGTGGAAAGCCATCTTGGTGAACCCTCAAACTAGGGAAGGCTTTATTAACTGTTTCAGTTTGAGTGTGGAAAACATCCCCCACAGGCTCATTTTGAACACTTGCTTCTCAGTCGGCGGCACTGTTTTGAAAACTGTGAAAACTTTAGGAGGTGGAATCTCGCAGGAGGGCCTTTGGGTTTGATAGTTCAGACCCACTCCCTGTCTGTTCTCGCCTTGTTCTGACATGATGTGAGGTGAGGGAGCCCGGCTGCATGCTCTTCCTACCATGGCATCTCCTGCCGCCATGCTTTGCCTTCCACGATAGGCTGTGTGCCTTTAGCCCATGAGCCCAAACAAGCCCTTCTTCCCTTGAATGGCTTTTGTTGGGTTACTTTGTTCCAGTGAGAAATGTAACTAAGACAAGGGGTGACAAGGTGGTCACACACTTCTGGAGGAGGCAACCCAAGCTGGCACCTCCCTGGCACATTTATAAGAGTTCTGTGAGGACAGCAGTAGCACAGGTCATCATCCCAAGGCCTTCTCAATTGAAGAGCACAGGGCCAAGGACTGCGCCTGCAGCTCTGTCTCTGAGGGCACCCCCCACACGTTAAGCACATTAGTATCCGGCTCCCCCACCCTCACTTCCTGTTCCCTTAGGTCTGACCCTTCCTGTACCCATCAGCCCCTTTGTTTTCTCTACAGGACCTAGATGCAGATTGGCACAGCAGAACTTTCCTTCAAAGTCAGGTTTGCATGAGGAGATACATAACCAGCGGCCCTTGAGCCACCCGAGTGAGACGAGATGCTGAGCTTCGGTTTCCGTGACTGACACTTTCCTCGCCTGGAATTAGCCAGTAATTGCATGTGGGCAGACCTAGCCAGAATGGTCTAAATGACCAATTAGAAGGCAAAAAGGAGGTCCTTTTATTTTTTTTTTTTGAAAGTTCAAGGGTCCCCGTTGACGAGCCCTACTTCTCAGGCGATGCTCCAATGGGCCTGTGCCCAGCTCTGCCATGCGCGAGTATACCCTACATTTGCCTAACGATAATGAATTGAGTACTTATTTTGCAGGAAAATATAGGGCACATCCATTACATGCAATCAAGCAAAAAGGCTGCGAAATGGGCACTCTATTAATTCCAAACAGAACCCTTCCCAAATGTCATCCTGCAACCGGAGCGTGGGCTTATTACCAATCTGAAGGAATTAAGGGTAATTTTCATTTGTACAAAGGATTTGAGGGACGCGGCTACCGCCACACACACAGTATTAATTGAGTTAAATTCAATTTGGTAATTTTAGTGCGAATCACCCAGCCCTGACCTGGCCTGCCCTAGGGTGAGATCAGAGTGTCTTGTCTGCTGGAGGAAGCAGGTATATGCAGGTAAGGCAGGTCTCCGCAAGCATGTACGCACTTTAGGATACACACAGAATGGCGTACAGTTGACCAGTTATTGACCAGTTATTAACCAGTAAGTTGCCCAAAGAGGAAAAATACATGTTAACGAGTAGCAAATCTCTGCATCTCTGGGCTTCAGTTTCCTCGTCTATAAAAGGGAGAATGACATCTCCTTTAATGGAGTTTGAGGCTAGGGAACTTGAGCGCAGCAGAGACCTCCCTCGGAGTGAGGACTAACTCTGATCTTTATTTTTATGCTCTGGGGGGCAGCATCTAGGCTGAGCTGACTCCCATAGCACACGTGGGGACATCTGGAGCCTCAATTTGAATGGGGACAATTTCCCCAGTCACTGCTAGGTCAGTCCCCAGGGCCTACAGATGTGGTCAGCCCACTGGGTTAGTGGTCATTTCCTTACTGATTTTAATGTCCACTATCTCTGGGTGGTCGCTGGGCTTGCGGGAGAGTGTAGAGCAAGAGACAGGAGCAAGCGGGGCAAGGCAGTTGGGAAGCTGGTCCAGATGGCCTGCAGCGAAAGAGGCCGGGCATCGGCAGGCAGCCCGGGTCCTCACTCCACATTCCGGTACTTGGTGAAGAGGTTGTATAGCACTCGCAGTGTGGACTTCAGGTCACAGTTGACAATGTCTGTGGAGAGACAAAACTCTGTGGTCCACACTCCGAAGCTGGCACTGATGGTCCCCTGCCATCCATCACTCATCCTCATCTACCCACTATGGTCCTCGGATGGGACTCATGCCGTCAGGGCAGGTGTGTGTGAAGGATGGGTAGGTGGTAGTGAGAACTCAGAACAGGCAATCGATAAGGGAAGAAGGGGCCAGGAACTAGGACTTCAGTCCCATAGAGATCAGGCTGTCACCCCAGAGTGTGACTTCACCACGGACATAGTGGCTTCAGGTGAGCAGGGTCTTGGCCTTGCTAAGTCTGGTCTCATCTGTCTCTAAGGTGCCTCTCCCCTGCCTCCACCTTCACCACAGTGCTACCTGTGCTTGTGAAGAAGGGGACACGAGCCGGGTGTGGTGTCACGTGCCTTTACTCCTAGTAGTTGGGAGGCAGAGGCGGAGGATCCCTGAGTTTGAGGCAAAGAAGAGGAGGAAGAGGAGGAGGAGGAGGGGAAGGAGGAAGAGGAGGAGGAGGAGGGGAAGGAGGAAGAGGAGGAGGAAGACTAAGGTGACAAAGACACTTAGGCTAGTCAGTAGGACGGGGAGGCCCTTCCACAAGGGAGGCCCCTGTGGGGCACAGGCTGCACGGGCAGAGGGAGGCTGGGAGCAGACTTTCTTCCTCCCACCCACTCATCCATGCGTCTCCCAGTCACCCACTTCTCAGGGTGCCCCTCTACTCTGCAGGCTCCTCCACCTTCTTCCCTCTGTGCTTCCTCCGTGAGCCATGCTTTGAAGAACTAGAGCGAACAAAGGAAGAAGAAAAGGAACTCTGCTCTTTAGGGAGCAAGATCTCGCCTACCATTTGTGCTCCAGGGAAACTCAGTTGTCAGGTGTGGCCATAAGAACCTTTGTCTAATGAGCATCTTACCAGCCCCTTTCCTTGTTTTTTTTTTTTAATTAAAAATTTTAAATGATTTATTTTTTTTTATTTCATGTGCACTGGTGTTTTTCCTGCATGTATGTCTGTGTGAGGGTGTTGGATTCACTGGAGTTACAAACAGGTGTGAGCTTCCATGTGGGTGCTGGGAATTGAACCCAGGTCCTCTAGAAGAGCAGCTAGTGCTCTTAACCACTGAGGCATCTCTCCAGCCCCCCCCTTTTAAAAATAAAAATAATTAGCAAATAACATCTCTGTTTGTGTATCTTTTACATAATGGTTAAATCAATGTAATTAGCATGCCTATCACTGGTTATTTCCTTGTGTTAAGAACATTCAAGAATTGTCTCACTGACCTGCTCCCCTGCATCCCAATCTTCTGGTGAGCATCACCCCACTTTTGATCTCTGCACATGGCAGAAATGGTGTGATACCTGTCTTTTGTATCTGGCTTATTCCACTTAAGATCACATCCTCCAAGCCTATGCACGTTGTCACAAACAATAACAACGAAACCTTTTTTATGGCTGAATAGTAGTCCATAGTTCCTATCTGTCCATCCACCGACAGACACAGGCTGATTCCATCTTCTAGCTGCTGTGACTTCACCCGCAGTGAAGAGGCAGATGGAGGTGAGTCTCTACCATACTCAATTCATCTCCTTTGGATATATACTCAGCAGTGGAACTGCTACTGTATAGAAGCTCCATTTATAATTTTCTGAGGACTACCCCCAACCATTTTCCATAGTGGCAGTACTGATAGACAATGCGACCAACAATGTGTAAGGACTCCACCGTGGTTCATCTTGGAGTTCTCTCCTGGCCTTTCTTACAACTCACCACACTGACGTTCTTACAGCTTGTCAGGATGGCTGTGATGATGTGGGGGCTCCTGGAATGGTCTGGAAGGATCTTCTCATCCCAAGATCACCAGTTCAATGTCTGCTACATTCCTTTTGCCAAGGTAATTTGTATAGCTTATGTAAAGAGCAGGATGGAGACTCTTGTGATATTTTGCTTGCCATGAAGGGTGTTAGAGATACCCAACAACATCAGATGAAGACAGTGTTCCAACAGGGCTGTGGCCATTCACCCTTGCCCCTCTGGTTTCTATGGCTCCATGCCTTTGTGATGATTGGAGTTGGAGGAAGCTGTCGCTGTCAGCTCTGTACACTGTGATCCAGGGCTATGGGGGAGGAGGCTGGGGCAACTTTCATGTTTTTGGCTACAGACCAAGCCTACCCATGTTGAGCTGACCAGGGGAACTTCCCGGCTGTCAGCTGATGCTCCCCACACAGCCTGTCTCAGGCCCCCCGCCCCCTGTGGTTTGCATATGCCACCAATCTGCTGGCTGTCCACAGTTTGATCCTGACTGCACTGGGCTTCTCCTGAGTCCCAACCTGCCTGGCACACTGGGATCTTGACCATATTTGATGATGAGTCCACTTGAATGGTGGGAGCAGTGAGGCATACGCATTTGAAGACACGTGCCCCTCAATAACAAACCGCCAGCCTTATACTGATATTCTTTTCTCGTTTCTCTCTTTGATTTCCTCCTCTCCCCTCCCTTTCCTCTCTCACCGAGGTCCTATACAAGTGATCTACCACTGAGCTATATCCCCAGCCTTCACTTTACATGTTAGTTTGAGACAGGGGTCTCACTAAATTGCCCAGGGTGATCTTGAACTTGCTATGTAGCCCAGGTTGGCCTGGAATCACCCTCTAAGTCCCAGACAGGCCTTGAGCCTGCAACCCTCCTACTTCAGCCTCTGGTGTACTGGGTTTCCTCACCCGGCATTTCAGCCCCTCCATTGGCTATGGATGTGATGCTCTCCCTCAGCTTACGTTTGTCAGAGCACGGAGAGACTCTGAAGCCCAGGTGGCAGAAGCCTGAGACGTAACACAGGGCATTATGGAGCTCTGAGGACCCCTGACCTCAGAATCTTGCCAGGACAAAGGTCCCCGTCATGGTGTTTCGATCTGGAGACATCCTCACAGAATTCGTCACAATGTCTGCAGTGTCGCATCTCCCGGGCAGAAGCACGGAAGTCAGAGGGAACGCTGGGATCTGCTGCTCACAAAGTCCAGTTTCACAGAGCCCCACATCAGCCCCCCTTTACGCACTGGAAATTTTCTGCATGGGCACGGTGCCCAGGACAACAACAAATAAGATACATGTGTTTTTCCACTGCCATTGCTCGGGAAGTTTCAGATGAAGTGGGTCAATAATCACACTCGAAACCTCTCTCTATATACCCAAACAGTCCTATAGATTGACACCGGGAAAATTCTCCCTGTCTGAGGGAAACAATGGTGCAGACACCAACGTATCAGGACAAGTCTTTCTAGTCTGCAGGTTGGAAGTTTCCATGAAGCAGTTCAACGAGCCAACCACAGAAAATTAAGCTGGGGCTGGAGAGATGGCTCAGCCTTTAAAGGCTAGGTTCACAACCCAAATACAGGAAACCAAAGCTGGGCTCTCCAAGCCAGGTGCTGGGGCTGCTGCCGGATACTAGAGCTCATCCATAGGGGCATCAGGATAGAGAATCTTGTCTTGCCAGGAGAGTGCTCCCGGGAGCACCTTCACTCCAGAGGTCCTCCCTTAGAGGTAACCATGGACACGAGACAAGGTGGGAACGAAAGGGAGTAAAGCATTGAGCTTTGTCCACTGGAGCTGATAGTATCCAGTCCTGCAGGAGTCACAAACTAAGGTCAATCACAGTTCTTGCCAGTCTTTCTGTCGTATTCTGACTGTCCTTGGGTCCATCACACTGCTCCTTCCTGCACCCAGACAGAAAAGGGACCCTCCTTCAGCCACGCAGCCTCCTGCTGGACTGTGTCTGGACCACTCTCGTGACTCTCCTGCTATGTGTGGTGTGCAGCTAGTGATGCTGCCTTGCCTCTGCTTGGCGGCAGGAGCCTTGGGGGCAGGGGTGGTCTTGCCTTTACTATGAACGATGATGTGCAGGGTTCCAGGCTGCCTAGACAAGTGCCAGCCCTGTGGGTGCAGGGTCTGGAAGGCAGATCTTGGATTGGAGGCAAGAAAGCAACAGGGTATAGGCCACAACCTCTGCTTGTCCCCATGCCTTTCAGTGACCAGGAAGGTGCAAGCACAAGGCTCTGTGGCCAGCCTTCTGGGAGTTCCAACGTGACGGACACTATCTGCAGCCCTATGTCAACTTGACAGTACTGATTACATGGGACACTGCGGCGAGTGACGCAGAGACAGTGTACCAGGATAACGACCTACAGTGACATGCCTCCCACTCGCAAACACACACACAGCCACGCAAAAACACTCCAGGTGTGCCCGAGCGTTCTCTTCTGGTTCTGTTTCCTCCTGATCTCATACAGTCAACCTTCTGTATCCATGGGCTCTGCATGTGTGGACTCAGACAACAGTGTGTAGAGAATATTTTTAGGACTTTTCCAGGGCTGGAGAGATGGCTCAGTGATTATGAGTGTATGTTGCACAACCGTGAGGACCTGAGTTCATACCCCCAGCAATCTGGGAGTGGTCTTGTATGCTGTGGGAGGATTGCTGTAGCTTGCTGGCTGCCAGCCTAGCTGAGAAAAATAAAACAAAACAAATCCAAAGGCTCCCAGTTCAGGGAGAGACCCTGCCTCAAAGGAATGATGTGGAAAGTGATAGAGGAAGACCCTCAATGTCCTTCTCTGGCCTTTGTGTGTACATGAGTATACACACACACACACACACACACACACACACACACACACACACACACACAGAGAGAGAGAGAGAGAGACAGAGAGACAGAGAGACAGAGACAGAGAGAGAGACAGAGACCTCAATACAGAGACTGCATCTGTATTGAACAGGTCAAATTTCCCCCTTGTCATTATTTCAACAAGACCACATAACAACTCTTTCCCTAACACTTACATGGTAACAGATGTAATGAGCTGCGCACAGGTGGCTGAATGCACATGGGAGAGTGCCTGGATTCTATGTACATACTGAATTATCTTACATAAGGGACTCGAGTGTCCTTGGACTCTGGTATCCTTGGAGGGCTTTAGACCCAACTGGCCATATATACTGAGGCATTACTATATCGGTCACCTAGACCCTATAAATGAAAGTCCCACCCCACTATCACAGACCCGGGAAGAGCAAAGTACCTTCTGGACGGGGTTTAGGCTTTTCCAGCCCTCCATCTTGCATGAGCTCAAAGGCAAAGGAGACATTCAGGACCTGTCAAGAAAGATGTAGTGGATAAGTCATTGCATACCTCCGGGACCCCAGGACCCCAGGATCCTGAGAGCCCATGATTCCAGGACCCTAGGACCAGTCCCTGGGAAGCTTAGGAGCCTAACGTAGCTGTGGACCTGAGGCTGAGCCCATGTGTGGCTAAAGAAATGAACTGGTTATGCTGAGAGTGACGGTGCTGATCTTAGCCACTACCATAGGGGCTCTTTCTGTCCCATCCCAATCTTGTCAATCAATTGACAAGGCCTTCAAACTCAAGGATAAGAGAGCATCCATTTGCTAGGGTCAGATGGCAGGGCCTGTTCAAGGGGATCTCTGCCTTGGGCCAAAGGCCTTTTGTTCAGTCAAGGAGGATAATGGCTGCCCCCAAGGAGATGCAGTACCAGGATAGGCCAAAACCAAACCAAACCACTCAGTTATTTACAAAAGGGCTGGAGAGGTAGCTTAGCTCAATTTCTAGCAGCACATGCGCACACACATGTAGGTACATACTCCTGTACTGATGTAAGTTTGAGGCCAGTTTTCACTATAATGTAATTTCCAGGCCAGTCTGGGCCAGAGTACGATCTTTGTCTCAAATGCTCCCCCTTTTCCCACCAAAACAGAAAAGAATCAGGGGCTGGAAAGATGGCTCAGCAGTTAAGAGGGCTTGATTTTGTTCTTAGCACCCACGTGGCTCACAAACGCCAGCTCCACGGGGTTCAAAGCCCTTTTCTGGGCTCCCTGGCACTTAAACACACATGTGTGCACACATACACATTATAAAAAAGAACCAGCTTGGCCATGGGCCTCAGGGCTAACTGGCTCTGTAGCCACCCTTCTCTGTCACCTCTGACAGAGACGAGGCTGCCTGTTTATCTGCAGAGCACATGGCTAGGCAAGCAGGGACAGGCAAAAGGCAAGGAACAGTGTTTGTTCAGCATGCATGGAGTCTGCAGGTGGCTCGTGCCAAGTCCAACTGTTTCTAGAGAGGCTCCATCACCAACCAGCGAAGGCCTGGCCAGGAGGCCACCTCCATCTCTTCCTAGACAGGCTCAGTAGAGATAAGCAGGACTTGGGCTATGGGCTTCCCCAAGGCCCCTCCCCCTTACCTTCTGTTCAAAGCTGTCCGGGGTCAGGAAGAAGCTGTGCAGGGGGACAAAGTAGCCCTCCAGGAGCCCCATGAGCAGCACCAGGTAGACCCCATCTGCAAACTGCGGGGAGAGGCAGGTATCAGCATGAGTCTCCTTCATCACCCTGGCATCGACCCACCCGAGGCCACCTCAGTAGGCAGGGTGCTGGGTGAGGGGGGAGGCAATGTGGCAGCTGCCTTGTGTGTTACCTGGGTTACTCCTCAGCTAATCCTGTGGAATAGACACCAAACTGCTGTACCCCCACTCTATAGGTGAGAAAAGCGAGGTGCAGAGGAAGGCCACCCTGCCTATGGGAAGGGACATCACTGAATCGAAGTGTCAGGGAAATGATAGATGATGGGCGATAGGTAGATGAGTGACATGAAGGTCCTCGTACTTTTGCTTTTGGAACAGCGAACACGGTGGCATCAACTGGACCTGGCTTCTTGCTTGTGCGTCCCTTCCTTGGGGTTCCAGAGTCAGACCAGTGCAGTGGGTAGAAACTTGGGTTCTGAGTCTAGCCCTACTTGCTAGCTGTGGGGCCTGACTGTCTCTGCACCTCGTTTTCCTCACCTGTAAAGTGGGGGTACAGCAGTGTGGTGTCTGTTCCATGGGGCTAGCATGAGGACTATATGTAGCAGGAATCCTAAAAGTTCTTATTAATAAAATCAAACCCGAGGCGAGTTATTGGGGTCCATGCTGGTAGATCAGAGAGACAGAACAAGCCACAGCTAACCTCACCTGGTCAACTTCTCAGCTGGTCTTGTTTCCTCAGACTGGAAGCTTCTGTGTCCTCATCCCAATGGCTCTCAGCTGAACTGCTGCTGGAAAGCCTGAAGCTTAACCAGCCACATGCTTAACCAGCCAAAATCTTCTAGTTTCTGGTCCTCACGCCTTATATATCTTTCTGCTTTCTACCACCACTCCCTGGGATTAAAGGCTTGCTTTCTGGGATTAAAGGTGTGTGTCACCATGCTTGGCTTTTTCCAATGTGGCCTTGAACTTACAGAGATCCAGATGGATTTCTGTCTCTGGAATGCTAGGATTAAAGGCGTGTGCTATCACTGCCTAACTAGTGGCTTTTCTGTTCTCTGACCCCAGATAAGTTTATTAAGGTACACAATATTTTGGGGAACACAATACCACAACTATATATAACGTGCATAAAGCACTTGGGACCTGCTTGGGATGTAGGCCGCACTCACTAAGCATTACTGCCTTTGCTGTCTGGAAAATGACGAAGTGACTGGGATTCTTGCTGACCAAACAGAACTCTATTAAGGACCATGGAAAGGAGCTTGAGACCTGGTTCCTTTCAGAGAAGTAGAGCTACTGGGGTTGGGAAACTGAGCCAAAGGGCCAGACTCTTGGGCTAAGAACAGAGTGCTTTGTTCTAGGGAGGCGAGCTGCATAGCCTGGGAGATCAGGGCAGTGGTGGTCTGGGGGTGAGTGAATTTCGGAAGGACTCAGTGTTAAGGCGAACATATGATGCTTATCTGCTATCTTAGCACCCGCAGAGGATGCTGGGCCACCACACGTACAGATTATAGGTGCTAGGGTTCACAAGCTACCCCTCCTGCAGTGGTCCTATTAGGAGAATGAAATGGACTGGGCGGCTAGGGTCTGGGTCTGGAGCATCCTCATTAAGCTTCCTAGAATGATGCAGATGACACACAGGGTCCAGAAAGAACTGGAGTAGCTCCTCCATAGTCTCCTGGGTCACCTCAGGCAGGTGAAGCCTGTGAACGGCATTCCATGCCACCTGTGTGGGACAGCGGTGAGGAAAGCAATCAAGCCTGGGTCTGTCTGCCTATGGCTGGAGTAGGCCAAGGAGAGATGCAACCAACCTGTGAGCCAGGAGGGTTAGGATGATTCTGCTCAGAGGGAAGATGGGTGGTGGCTCCCTGTCTGCTGGGTGGAACCTGTGGACAGATGCCAGAGTGCCAAGCAGCACCCTCTGGCACAGCAGCCTTGGCCCTGAGTCAAGGGGGAATTTCCAGAGAGCATTCTAGCTGCTTTTCTAGAATGTTCCAGATTGTCCCAGAGTTCAGACACACAAGAAGAGAGCTCAGTGAAGACTGGAGAGAACTCTGTAGACAACAGGAGGTGTTCACACTCATTGAATGTCAGTCAGTAGCAGCTCACTCAGAATGAGAGGCTGGGGGAGTTGGGGTACACAAACTACAGATTAGTATTAAGTACTAAGGTAGAAAATGATGCAGCAGGTTCTAGCCAGAGTCCAGCAGACGATACCTTGGTGGCCTCTTTTACCACCATAGTGGGGCTAACAAGACAAACGCTAGAAAGTGTCTCCTAGGGAGTGCTGGGGTGGACAATGGGCGGCCTGGATGACCTACGAACCATTTGCTTGGTACTTTGCAAGATCACCACTGCCAGCCTGGATGGAGGAGGGGCTCAGGATGCCCCAGCACTGGCTGAGGAGCTACTGGCAGTTGATGGCTGCTGGTGGGAGAAGAGTCAGTTTTCTTCAGAGGTGTGGCTCTTGGGTAGGCTGCCTCTGATCCAGTGGACGGCCACATGGACAGCTCTACTTGGACTCAGTAGGTTATAGAAGAGGAGGACATAAAGTTAGGAGAAGGGTGGGGTGTCTGGGAGGAGCTGGGAAGAGGGAGTAGGGGTGGACATGATCTAAATAAATTATACAAACAAATGAAATTATCAAAGACTAAAACAATGACAAAAGCCCACCGATGTCCTTCCAAGAAGGGATGAGTGTTCAAGGCTGTGTTAAAAGGGGCTGAGGGAATGGGACAGATAACCAAACACGGGGCAGGGGAAAGCAGGGTGACTGTCCTTTAACCATGTGACAGGCCCATCTTAGTTGCTCGAAACCAGCCAACATGACCTCATAATTCCCCTCTAAACAGATGAATATAGGGGACCAATGCTAAAACCGCCTGCATCTAATCAGTGGACAGTGGTGACCCAGGACAGTGGACTCGTTCTGAAGAGACACGAGGGAGCTATTCAGAGGTGGAGAGTGAGCGTGGCCAAGTGCTGTGTGTCACATGTAGAACAGACAGAATTCTTTCCTGCAACTTCTCTAAAAGGAGCTGGGGAAAAAACCCCATCTGGTTCACGTCTCTGAGCAGCTCACATCTCCCACCCCATCCCTCTGTCTGGAAAGCTTCGGGTCCCTGGAATTGTCACTCACCTGTGTCTCCAGTTCTGTGACCTCCAAGTTCAGTTTATTCAGATGCTTGTTCACGAACGTGATGAGCGTCTAAAAGAGACGTGCAGAGGTACTCAGATGCAGGTCTTTACATGTGAAAGGGCCCTGGGAAGAGGCTCTTAGTTAGGTAGCCCACATGGCTGAGAGGGACAGGGAGCCCTGGAGACAGGATGACAGGTGGAGTATCTGATCTGGGGTCAGGGTGGGCAGAAGGGAATTAAGAAGCGGGCAAGAGACAAAATGACCATCTGGGTCCCTCTTGTCGATCCCTGCTTTGGTACTATCTCCTGCGCCCAGGGAGTTGAAGCATTCCGTGTGAGGAGCAGAGAGAGCTGAAGTCAGTGTGGGTGGGAAGACAGGGTAGGCATCCTGCTGGGAGCACAAGGGCCCTGGATGACCAACCAGTGACCGAGAGGAAAAGATGTCAGGACACCCCAGGCGCAAGCTGGCATTTCACATGCACTGTGGGGTCCTAGCCCTTGCTGCCCCCAGACACCATAGGCCTACCTTCTTGACCACGTTGAGCTTGTCTGGTGCATGGTCAAACAGTGTGTCAAAGGCATCACGTTCTGAAACAGGGAAACACACACAATGCAGTACAGAGCAGAGCTGCTGGAAGCCATGTGGTCAGCTACCATAGGGAATCTGGTTGATTCTCATCCCAAGGTCCCTGTCTGTGTGTGTCCACTAGGTGACACTTATTTCTAAGCAGGCTGACCTGGGCTTGGTCCTTTCTCTTCACTTCTATCCCACCACATCCCAGTGTAGTCACAGTTCTAAAGTGTTTCTAACATTCTCTGGTCATTCGTTATCCAAATAGCAAATTATTTAGGGTAATTTTTATGACAATTATCCTGGTAGGAGCAGAGGTAAGGGCACAAGGGCCCAGTGCCTTCCAAGATAGAATAAGAGTCTCTTTCTGGGGGTTCCAAGTCTGCCAACCCCTCTGTGCCTCAGTTTCCCCTTCTATAAAACATCATCTGAAAGATAAGCCTTCCCCAGGGTGTGTGGTAGGTATGAGTGACATGTATTCTATAGACTTCAACAATGCTCTCCCAATGCAGTTTTTAGCATAATCAAAGTATTTCATGAGATCACTAAGAATCAGGCTGACAGCACATAGCCGAGCCATGCTCCTGGCAGGGATACTTCTTGCTGTGGTGCCAGATTCCCAGAACCAGAGGTGACCTAGTGGAAGGGTGTGGAGGCAGGGGTGGGGGAAGTTTCCAGAAGCAAGCTGGGCTGGGGAGCGTCTGTGACCCAAGGCCAGTCTTTTCCACTTGACACTGACGGGCAAAGCTAAGACTGCTAGGAAGCAAGTGTGTGTGCACGCACGTGTGTGTGTGTGTGTGTGTGTGTGTGTGTGTGTGATTTCTGACTCTTGAAGATTTTATACACAAGCCTGAAGTTCGGGGAGATGGGAGCTGTGATGGGGACTAAGAGGGAGTGAGGCAGGGGACTATCTCCCAAGTGTGTTCAATCTCTTCCTAAACTCTCATGCCAGGCTCAGGGTAAGTCTGCTCTGCTGGGGCCAGATCTGTGTTGATGAGTAAGTGTTCTGCATGCCACTAAGCTGTCCCTCCCCGACTGGCCAGCGTGTTCCCAAGTAGGGGCAGACAGATCAGAAGACAGAACTAACTAGCTTCAATGAGGCCACCAGAGCCAGACAAACGCACAACACTCACCATGTCTTCCGGAAAGGGCTCTGGAAGAAAAGGAGAAGGAATTCAGTTATATAGAAGGTTTGAGTTTGGGGCTAGCCTGGGCTACATGAGGAGCAGAGGCTAAAGATGCTTAGCCAGGAGAGCCGAGTGACCAGCGAGGGGTTTCACTGTCTAGGTCCTGTGGCCGACTGCCTGGAGGTGGGCTTTGTCTTGCTCCTGGCTATCCTGTGATGCCCCCAGTGACACCTGCCATTGCTCCAGGACAGTGTCTCAGAGAGGACAGGGACTGGAACTTCACTCATAGGCAGAGCAGCAGTCATGCTCTAAGAGCATAAGCACCAGAGACAGGTGACAGGTCACATGGTCTTAGACTAAGTTCTCCTGAGGCCCTTCCTTCCACCCGTTTTAGATGCTGTGTGACTCCAGGAAAGCTCTCAAACCTCTCTGGTCTCTGGATCTCTTAATTTCTAAAATGAAAATAATGGGTGCTCTGAGCATTCAGTGTCGAGAAAGACTTTATTGTAATTTCTAGTGCATAGTAAATATCCTAAACATTAAAAAAAAGTTTATTGCACTTGTGTGTGTGTGTGTGTGTGTGTGTGTGTGTGTGTGTGTGTGAGTCAGAGCACAACTTTCAGGAATTGGTTATTTCCTTCTACCATGTGGGTGCCGGGGAACTGAACTCAGGCTTGGGAGCAAGCACCGTTATCTGCTGAGCCATCTCACTGGCACCCATGCTTTTCGCAGTACGTTTCTGGTTCTTAAGAATTTGAGGATATGCGTCATTCATTTGCACACCTAATCCCCACTAAACGACCATCTGTGTGTGGTTTGCCTACACAGAATGGTGAAGCTGGAGATGCCAGCTAGACGGACTGTCCTGCGGTTTCCTTCATCGCCCTGGGGTGGGGGGGTGGGGGCGGTGTCTGCTGCAGCAGTATACAGCAAAGAGCTGCGAAACTGTACTGGGCTGCTGTTAGGAGGCCTTCACTCATGCTTACGTTTTTGTGGCAGAGAAAGGGGGACCATAGGAAGCATAACACACAACTGCAAAGAATGTCTTAGAATCTTAAACCTCCCTTCCCCACGCCCATGGAGCCAGCAGTGTCTCCCAGGCCACTCCCTTCTTTGGTCTGTTCTCTTTTCCAGGAGATGAAGCAGCAGGCACAGAGCAGCCCTCATGGGAGGGGACAGTGAAGCTGGACCTGAGGTGGTTTGGCCTCTTAGTCCTCAAAGCCATGCCAAAGACATTTGGTGTCTTGCAAGCCATGTGACTATTGGCGACTAGGCTGAGACCTGGGAGTGATGGGGACGTTTCATGATGGGGTCTCCACATGTCATATAGCAGGCATCCTGGGGAGGGCCACTCTCTAGCTCTGGCCACTCCCTGGCCTTTTGAAATCATTTGCATTATGGACTCCTGCCAATCATGGTTGGAGAATACGTAAGTGGAGACCAGAGACCAATATCCAGTATATCCCACTTTAGTTTTGAGACAGGGTCTCTCACTGACCCTGGAGCTTGCTGATTTGGCTGGGCTGGCCGGCCAGTGGGTCCCGGAGCCCCCCTGTATCTGCTTTCCCAGTGCTGGGATAACAGGTGTACCCAGCTCTGTCTGGCTTTTTGCCAGGGGCTGGGGATCCGAACTCAGGTCCTCAGACATGTTTGCGTGGCAAGCACTTTGCCACCTGAACCATCTCCCCACTCTCACGGCAAACCTTTTATATTTCTTCATCTTCAAATTTCTAAAAATAAATAGGATAACAAACCCAAACCCAAACCCAAAAGACATCTGCCAGGTAGAGAGGGTTTTCTGGGTCATGGCACATGACCAAATAAATCAGACTTAAGAAGGAAGAAAAAAAAACGTCATCCTTTTGAAGATTAACAATTCAGATTGGCCCCGTGTTTACCACATGACGATTTCATGCTGGTTAGCTTTTTGGGGGGTATACTTTCTTTTCCTGGAGTGCCACAAAATTAGAATTTTCAATCACGGCTAATTCCTCTCTCCCCGCTTCCCCACCCAGGGCTGTACCTTCAGCGGCAAGAGGCATGTTTTGAAGGCTAAGCTATAATCATCGGCTGCAGCTTAATCCCTCCCGCAATCCCAATAAATGAAAACTAAATATCAGCAAATGGGTGAATTTCAGAGAAACATCTGTGTTCCATTACAGACTCGCTGGCAACAATGGTGTTGACATACTCTGTGTTACCAGTTATTTCCTCTTGGATTTGTCGAGACTGGAGGATCCCTTCTCGTTTCTGAAAGGAAGAAGAGAAGAGAAGGACACAGGCTTTAGCCACACGGAAACATCACTCGGTATTCCTGACATGGAGACACGTTATGGGCGTTTTTTATAAGAGGGTCAAGAGATGAGAAGATTCGAGAAGGGGAAATGCAGTGAGTGATCTGAGGGCACCTGGCTGCACCATCATGACCGACTGCAATTGGCGCTCAGTCCGAACAAGTAGGCTGACTCCTGGAGGGTGAAGCCTGCCTTTCTTCACTGAAGATTTCTGTTGGAAGCCAGCTGTTTGCCTCGGGGAGCGAGGCACAGCAAACCCAGTGGAAATGCTGGCTGGGTGTGTCTGCCTCCAGCTGGGGCCCTGCAGGGAGGCCACTGTGTACAGCAGAGCCGTGGGGCTGGATGGAGGTGTGCAGGGCAGCCTGGAGAATTCAGACAGAAGCAAAGGCGACGTGTGCTTTGTTTTGCTTTTTACGCAATAACCATGGAGCTCTTTTAATTTTCGGAGTATTTTAACGTATTCTTTGATAGTTTCACACATATATACAACATGTTGTACACACTATCTTGATCCTATCCATCCCCCCCACCCCTCCTGGACCCTCTCATCTTCCTACTCCCAGCTTCATGTTTATATGTGTATCCCACTGAGCTCATTACTATTGCCTGCACACACATGGGTGTGGGACCACCCATGGGAACATGGGAAACCTACCAGAGGTCACGGGCCCCAAAAGAAAAATGACTCCCCATCTCTTAGCAGTCACCAGTGGTCAATGTGGTTCCTTAGTGAAGGATGGAGTCTTAGGAGCCCCTGTGTCCCATTCAAGCTTGCGGACGGGCTTGGTCTTGTGCAGGCAAACAGAGCTGCCACAAGGGTTCATGAGTGCGATGGCCACGTCAAGTCCAGAAGCCAGGATTTCACAGCACTCATCCTCATCCTCTGGCCCTTTGGTTCTTTTCGCCTGCTTTTTGGTGATACTCCCTGAGCCTTGAGGGGACTGGTACAGGTGTTTCATTTAGGGCTGAGCACTCAGTGGTCACCTATTCTCAGTACTGTGATCAGCAGTTATGAATCTCTGCATTGAGTACTACCCATCGCAGAGAGAAGCTTCTAGAACCAACGTTGAGAGCAGCACTGATCTATGGAGTGAATCACTGGCACGGTTGTGCTGAGTCGAAGGGTGACAGTCTCAGGTCCCTCTAGCTCCAGCAGGCTCCACTTAGCACTGGCCCGGGGACTGTGAGTCAGCAGCACACTCACTACTTAGGCACATGGCTTACTCTGGGCAAAGCAACCACTTTGGGCCTTATCCAGGCAATTTCTTCCTCCCTCTCTTCTTCTTCTCCCTATGCACTTTTCAAAGATAGGGACTCATATAGCCCAGTACTATGTGGACTTCCAGGTAGGTGGTCAGACATGCTTTCCAAGAAGAGGAAACATTGGGGAACGATCACTCTAGGGGGAGGTGGCTGCCATTGGTTCCTGAGCAGCTTCCCTGGAGGGTGGCTGGAGAATTGAGCATGGGGTCTTTGAAGGAGCACAAGGGTTCCCTATGACCTTTTGATAGACTCCAGGAGAAAACTCACTCTACCAGGTCCCTCTGTACCTTTGCAGGGCAGTCTGGGCACCATAAAAGGCTGGCAGAGCAAAGTCACTGTCCCAAAACCCAAATTAATGCTAAGAAGGGGCCTCTGAGCTAGGGTGTGGTGGTGCTCACCTCTAATCCCAGCACACAGGAAGCTAAGGCAGGAGGACGGAGAGTTGGAGTCTAGTCTGGGCTATATAGTGAAAGCTTGTCTCAATCCACCCTCCTCCCCCATCAAACAAAGAAGGGACCTCTGAGTTCAGCAGATCAGCTAACATGCCTTCTGGAGTCTCCCCAAACTTTTAGAAACATCCACTCATGTTTTCAATGGCCACAGACACTAGCTTCCTGGCGAACCCTTTTGCAGAAGGAAAGGCAAACTGGATGGAGTCAAGAGTCTCTGATTAGAGGAGAAAGGGACAATCAGGGTGGAAGAGGAAGTAACAGGAAATGGGTGTGGAAAGGGATCAGAGGGGAGAAATCAGGAGTTGTCCAAAATTCAGTGTGAATGTGGTGGTATTGTGTTCCCCAAAATATTGTGCACCCTAATAAACTTATCTGGGGTCAGAGACAGAACAGCCACTAGATACAAAGGTTAGAAAATGATGGCACTCACACCTTTAATCCTAGCACTGCAGAGGTAGAAATCCCTCTGGATCTCTGAGAGTTCAAGGCCACATTGGAAACAGCCAGGCATGGTGACACACGCCTTTAATCCCAGAAAGTGAGCCTTTAATCCCAGGGAGTAAGGCAGAAAGCAGAAAGATATATATAAAGCGTGAGGACCAGAAACTAGAAGCTTTCAGGCTTTGGAGCAACACAGTTCAGCTGAGATTCATTCTGGACGACGACTCAGAGGCTTCCAGTCTGAGGAAACAAGACCAGCTGAGGAATTGGCAAGGTGAGATAGCTGTGGCTTGTTCTGTCTCTCTGATCTACCAGCATTGACCCCAATAACTGGCCTCAGGTTTGATTTTATTAATAAGAACTGTTAAGATTCCTGCTACAGTGAAACATGTCCGATCTCCATATGGGGCTCATGGAATCCTTGTCTAATCTTGGAAGTCCACCATTAGACAGAAACTCTCACTTCCCAGTTCATACCTAAGGGAAGGAAGTGGATGTTACAGAGCCCTCGCTGGCAGTCCTTGAAGCTCCTATCTCTAATTATCCCTGGAGGGATAGCCACACAGCTTTGTAGTTCACTTTCTGCAAGGTTTGTTTCCCTTATTGTTTTTGTTTTAAAACAGGGCCTCAGCCAGGCAGTGGTGGCACATGCCTTTAACCCTAGCATTTGGGAGGCAGAGGCAGGCAGATCTCTGTGAATTCAAGGCCAGTCTGGTCCACAAAGTAAGTTCCAGAACAGCCAGGGCTACACAGGTTTTTGAAACACTTTCTCAAAAAACAAACAAAACAAAGCCAAACCCCTAAAACAGGGCTTCACTATGTAGCCCAGGCTGACCTGGAATTTATTACATAGTTTAGACTAGCCTCAAACTCGCAGCAATCCTCCTGCCTCAGCCTTCCAGGTGCTGGTACAGTTGTGTACTATCACACCAAGTATTTCTTGCTAGTTCTGAGTCCTGCTTCTGAGCTTATTCTCTTGATAAAGCTAATCACCCTGTAAACCCTAACACACACACACACACACACACACACACACACACACACACACGCCCCACACGTACACTCCATAACCCTTTTTCCATGTCCTCACCCTAACAAAAGTCTCTGCAGCAGAAATTAAACCAACAACTGCCTCTGATGGCTGATAATTGAGCTCAAAATAAGGTCTGAGATGTGAGTTTGCAGCGACCACTGTTTCAAAATAGCAGTCTCCCACAGACTCTGCGGCTCAAATCTTTGTTCCCCCTTTTTGTCTGTAGTAAAGCAACAAGTAAGTTTTGTTGTTTTTCTTAGAGAACTGTTCATCTTACCTGTTCAGAAGGACAACTAAAATATTCAGTAAATGGACAAAGAACTAGAAGGCACGGTGGCCACTGAAGATGTGAACGGCCTGCTTACCTAGAAATCTCTCTCCTAGCAACAGCAGAGCCACGTGGGAACTGAATGATTGTATGGGGAGTTGTAAAAGAATTAAAGACTTCGAGGTGCCTTTGCTGGCTAGTCACCAAAGCACTCCAGAATTAACTGTAGAGGTCAGGTTTTTGTTTTCTGTGTGTGTTTGTTTTTACCTTTGTTAGAGTGTTTTTAGGTTCAGAGGAAAACTGAGAAGAGAGGCTAGGAATCTCCCTGGTTTTCCCACCCCTAGCACCCGATACAGTCTCATCCACCACTGGCACCCTGAGGCAGAGGGGTACACCATTCACAACTGAGCCAACTGCACTGAGCTGCTGGTCACCCCTGAAAGGCCAGTTATTATCAGACTCTTGGTGTTGTGCCTTTTATGGCTTTGGGTTGCATATCCCAAAGCAGTTTCACAGACTTCAATCCGTGCTCCATCATCCATCCCTCCCTTCCCTGTGGCAGCGTTTCAAAACACAAGATGAACTTGGGTGCTATTGGCTGGTAAGGATAACAAATGGAGAAGGTCTGGGTTCCTTAGGAGGACGGTTGTTCTAGGATGCTCTGGGCTAGCCACAAAGGCAATAAAGGCCAAGAGCTCAATGACAAGGATTCTGAGTACCTGCCTATCAGCCACACTTAAGGGTCTGAACCACACAGCTCGGCCCTGTCAAGGACAGGCCCCTGTCCCCTCTGTGTCGTCTTGTCTCCTTGAAGGCAGCGCCAACGCACCCTATTCCTATTATATCTTTATGATGCTTTGCAGAGTCGAGTGCCAGGAGGTGTGGAAGACGACTTTCTCATTAGGGCAGGAGTGATCGTTGCTTAGGAGCACCATTGTCAAATGCTCCCCTCCAGTTACTGTCTGACCTGAAAGCTCAGCTCAAAGCCCTTTTTGTCCTGTGAACAGGTCTGACCTGATCTGGCATAGTTAACCAGCCCAAAAGCTTTCTCTTACTGACTGATGGCAGAGCTGTCTCCTCTTGTCTGTTGCAGAACCCTGGATGGCCCTGGCTACTCAGGGGGCTGTGTGCATGCAGAGCACACCCTCACGCAGAGCACACCCGCATGCAGAGCACACCCTCACACAGAGCACACCGTCATGCAGAGCACACCCTCACACAGAGCACACCCTCATGCACAGCACACCCTCACACAGAGCACACCCTCACGCAGAGCACACCCTCACACAGAGCACGCCCTCACACAGAGCACACCCTCATGCACAGCACACCCTCACACAGAGCACACCGTCATGCAGAGCACACCCTCACACAGAGCACACCCTCACACAGAGCACACCCTCATGCAGAGCACACCCTCATGCAGAGCACACCCTCATGCAGAGCACACCCTCATGCAGAGCACACCCTCATGCAGAGCACAC